TGGTTACCGCACAGGTCTAAGGTAACTTGTAGACCTCATCAGTGAAGGGCAAGGTGCTATTTGTCGAGGTGGAACTGGTCACGGAGCTGAATCGTGGGTGACCCGATTACGAGATACCACTGGTTGCTAACAATAAGATTGCATATAATTGATCTATCTGAGAATTAGAGTGATCAATCACTTTGAGACACATCTTCGTTTGGATTTCGCTTCCGATAGTGTAAAATATTTTCATATTGCTTTAAACGCTGAATCATTACCTCGAACGGTATTGTAATGCGATCATGTAACGATCTGCTAATATTCACGTAAATTGATCATCCTCTTAAGTATTCACGCTGTATGCTCCAGTGAACCTATGTGACAATGTGCAAAGAAATTAAACCATATGATTGTACTGTTTCAATGGAAAAAGATTTGCAGTAGTTCAAATTAAACCGAAATGTTGTGTGTATCATTGCGAATCGTATCACGTCGATGTTTATCCAGCAAACCAACAACTTCATCATCAACGTCAACAGTATTTCGACCTCGATGTCAAGCTTTACCATCGACATGCTCAGTGCTTCAGTTCTCTTATCATACATCGAAATTAGTGCCAAAATCCCCATCACTCCTTCAGTTTAGGAGTTTATCATCTGCCGAGAAAATCTTTGGATTGGATCAAGATATCATGGTTTGTGCAGTATCATTGTTTGCAGTTTGCATTCACTTTGAAAGTATTAGAAGCTCACAATCAGTGAATTATCACTGTTTAAGAATATCCCAAATCTGCCACCGGTCCCTTTACCGCCTGAACCGTCATTATCAGTTGAAGAGTTAGTAGCATCAGGTCAAAGTGTTTTGCATGAACTGGGATTGATCAGTTGGTGGAAACCATCTGGATATTTTCGAATGGCGCTGGAAGCAGTTCACAATCATCTCGATTTGCCTTGGTGGGCCACCATTATGTGTGGTAAGTTTATTGATCATCACGCATTTTTTGATTGGATAAGCTTATTGTTGTAATGCAATGCAAAATGAAACGAACCTTCAGCAACACTATGCCTACGACTAGCGATGATTTTCGTACCGATTATGTCACAGAAACTTGTTGCAAAGCAGAGTATGTATAAGAAAGAGTTGGATGAGTTTAGAGACAGAATTATGGAGGCCAAAAAGGAAGGAAACAATTTACTACGTGAGTTTTGCATTTTCAATCCGTCTGTTTATGATCACTGGAGATTGTTTGTGTAATATCTGTTATGAGAATATGATTCATTACAGAGCAACAAATCTTCCTTGAACAACGTGACTTCTTGAAGTCGAAAGATATTCGTTTAGGGCGACAATTTCTGATAATCCTCGCAAACGGCGGTGTGTTTGCTACTCAGTTCTTTGCGATTCGTAAAATGGTCGAAGTGAAGTCAGTAATTTACTTTTGCTTTTCACGTTTTCTGATGTGTCTTATCAGTTTCGAGATGGAATAAGTTACGGATATTTGCATGAATGATTCAGTTTCCCCGGTTGGAGTAATGGCGGTGCGTTATGGTTTACTGATCTTACAATGGCAGACCCTTATTATGCGTTGCCATTGATATCAGCCGTTACTATGGGTATTGTTGCTAGGGTTAGTTGTGTTTATTCATTTTCATAATTATTACTGACTGAAAATTATGATGGATTGATATTAAAGGTTGGTATTGAAATGGGAACGTCAGCTGATCAAATGGGCCCTGGAATGAGACTTGGAATGTTATATGGGTTACCGGTGTTCATTTTCATCGCGAGTTCACGTTTTGCATCGGTTAGTCAATTTTCCTTGCTTATGGTTGTTCGTTTCTTACTGCTTACAGATTTCAGGGTCTCTGTGTATATTGGTGCACATCGAACTTTATCTCGCTCATTTATTCAGCTGCATTCAGACTGCCTTCTGTTCGGAAGGTATTTAAAATACCACCCGTCATTCGACACGAAGTAGAACGGAAAGGAGATTTGAATGCGTTCACTTCTTTATACCGAAACTATAAAGGTTATTTTCATTTGGAATTCGTAAAACGTCCGTGATATTTTGTAAAATTTAAATAATATTCTACTTGAAATTCATATTGTTTGTTCCGTCATTCAAGTTTCCCTGACATTTAAATGGAATTTTTTCTGCGTTTATGAAAATTTGTAATTTCAGAGCAAAAGGCTCGTCCACCAACATTGGAGGAGCTGAGTAAAGAAGATGTTCAACGATTCAAGAAAGCCGGTCGAGCGAAACCAATCGTAAGGCGGTGATTTTGAAGTGAAGAATGTGAAATTTCAGCTGTTTAAGTTAATTTGAGTTCATTAGTTTGTAACTTTATTAGTGAAGAATTTAAATTTTTAGCCGTTGAAATAAATTTGAGTTCATTAATTTGTAATATTATATCGTTAATTTATTGACGGATATTTCGAACTTACACTGTATGTTACTATTATTGTTATCACTTTATTTTTATTGTATATTGTACTCGTGACAAAAAGTGCGTTAGGCCAACCATTTCATTACTTTTTCGTCGTAATTTTGAGTTTTGAGTTTATGGTCATGTGATGAATTAATGACAAACAATTGTTTGAAATTCCGATCATTTTTAATTTCTTTTTTTTGCTGGCGAAATATGTGTTTCTTTACTGGTTTTGAATAATTTCCTTAAAGTACGAAAATTGATGGTAGGGCATTTCAGGTGGATAGAAGTCATTTAGACATACAGGTAAGTAGCTGGTGAGTGTGTATAGTTTTGATATTGGTTACTGTTTCGTAGACGTTGTGATTGTTATTATTAAATAGTTTTTAATTGATTCTTGATATGGTCGCCAATTGTATTCAACACCTTACGTCTGTTTATGTTTAGCTGAATAGAATTAAAAAATTTGGTGTTGTTAATGTTAATTAACCGAATTAACATTAGCACAAAACACTTTAGCACTCAACATTAGCACTTAGCTGAATTAAAATTTAGTGTTATTTGATGTTAATTCTCATAGTCCGTTTAATTATTCGTTTGTTTGATTTTATTCTGATGATTCACAGTATTGTCGATGATATCTTTTGATGCCACCAATTAATCAATCTCGATTAAAGAAAATTTGATTTTGGAATTATTGAGTGCAGTTATTCTCATCACGCTTGTGTGAAGTGAGCGACGGCTGATCATTACAATTTAGGTTGTTGTTGTTATTATAACTGTTGTTCATTATTAAACTATTATTGTTATTATTTATTAATCATTATTATAATATAATATTTATTGTTATATTATTCCTTTTACTATTATTGTTGTTTTTAGCATAATTACTAATTTGGCTAAATAAAAGCATTCGTAAGTTGAGAGTGCAGCAGTTTTTTGGTAAATTTGAGTGGAAATAGGATGCGAAAATGGCGTTTTGTTTGGTGAGATGGACATTGATATGGGTTTGTATAGGAACAGAACGGAGAGAGAGAGAGGGGTGATCATTGAAGGTCTTTTGAAGTGGTTTGTGACGTTGGCATAGGAATATGAATTTGAATTGAAGTCAGAACTGTGAAGTGATTCATTCTTCGGAATCGGACTCGAATTTATTTCGGTTGATGTCGAGCGGATCGATGATGCAGTATCGATTGCACTACCCAGAAGTGCATGTGTTCAGTTTCAAGAAGGATTGAATAGCATATCAGGTGGTCAGTAAGGATAACTGAGGGGACACCGAGGTGCTGAGGTAATTTCACAGCAGTCAACCGAACGTGTATCATCATTTCTGGGTGCATTCTAACGATTTTTTTTTGGATCATATCGAAATTTGATGGTGTTGGAATGATCCGAATACGTTACGTTCTCATTGTCAATCACGAGCGATCGGATTGTCGATCACATGTCAAATACTCGCAGATGATATTCTAGCAGTATTTATGATAAGACTTCAGAGTTGGGGTTATCAGAGTGAATGACGTTATCTTGTTAGAGTCATTTATGATTCACTCTAACCTCTCCGAAACTGACCCCTCTTTGAAAGTACGTTATCGTGAGGTGTGTTCATAGCGATAATTTGATATACGTTCGAAATTTTGATTACTTGAAAGTGCTCTTTGATTTATGTAATAATATATCTTTCAATGATTGTGATTGTATCATTTTGATCGTTCGACAATTTACATTGATAGTGACTGAAACGGTCCATCGATGTCTGGTGAGTTTGCTACGGTGTTGTGTCTGCGGGATATGTGCTGCTACTGAATTTGATGATTGTTCGTATCACCTCAGTTGTTCTCAGTCATCAGATGGCTTCTATTTCGTCATTCTGTTACTTTGATATGAGCTACCTGGATTACCTTGTTAGTAGACATTTATGACATTCATTCAGTGTTTTTGCAATTGCACTGTTATTGTTCATTCATTTGTGCGTACTCGATTAATGTAATTGCTCGGTTATGGTTTATTGTAGTGTCGGTGATTGAGTTTTGCTTTTCGTAAGGCTTGCGAGATCTTATATTGGTCATAGGGTCATAATTACAACCTACTTAACATTTTGATTTTTTTCCATTATTGCAGCCTACCGAACTGAATTTTAAACTGTCGAATGTTCATGTTTGCTTCTGCTTTCCCAATCCCTCCTTAACTTCTCATATCTCAAAAAAATTTCGTTCGTTCTTCAAAAAAAAAACACCATTTTCAAATCATCATCTCCTTGCACGAGTTCTTTCATTATTGTTGACGACGCGATTCAGCAAATTCTGTTCGGAATTTCGTTCAACCGTCGTCGTATTATCTGAAAATGAACGCATTTCGTCGTTTTTAACAAACGCCCAAACGTGTGGTAATCTATTTCAATGATTATTTATTTCTGATATGTAATCTATTATTTCTCTAAATGTCATCATTAAATGATCGTATTTCGGAATGTCATCTGATATGTTCGTTGCTTCTTCAAACGATTGCTTACTTTGATTTAAACAATTATCACATATTATTTAATATATCATAAGAAATATTCTTAGAAGTTTGTATTATCTATTTCAACTTCTTCCGTGTTGATGCTTCAAATGCGTTTTTTCTTTGTTGTCTTCGTTGAAGTATGAAACGATTGATGTTTTGCTTGCTGAAAATGGCAAATGCTCATTTGATATCTGTCTCGTTAAGCAATCGCTCGCATTGTATACTTCCTTCTGTTCAATATTTTTTAGCCTTCTCATTAGCCAGTGATTTGTTTCGATATTGATAAGTAAACTGTTGATGATTTCATCGCGCACAGGTGTTTATTTAAAAACATGAATGTTTTTTCAAAATTTTTGAGTTTTTTCAAATTTCACTTCAGTCATATCAAGTAATGTTTTACTGAAAACAAACCAAATGAATCGAGCATAATAAATATTGTCGTTCAGATGAGTCGAACATAAAAAAGGCAGAAAATCTTAATTGATACCGTGTTGATGAATAGATTTTGTTTTTATCGAAAGTTATTGAGTAATCTTTTTTTGCATGCGAAACTTCATCTGCAAATTGTGAACACACTGAAAAACTGGTTATTGAAGTAATGTGGCGTTCAATGAAGAGGTCATATAGTAGCATTAATATGATCAAATGTTGATGTTAGGACACCATAAAAATATGTCGTTACGATTGCTGTGCTTATACAGTTTCTTTATCACATCTGACAACTTATTTATTTATCTGCCGAGTTACGTTCATTACTTTTAATCTTTATGAGGTCTGACCAAACATATGTGACATCATATCACTTCTTCAGATAAATTCCCTTTCGAAGCAAAAATTTATCTCGTTGAGAGCATTTAAGTGATCGATTGTGATGAATGAATTCAATGATTATTCCTAATAAATTCTTATGATGAAAACGAATCAGATCGATCACTGGTTTGTTATTGGGATCACTTTCGCTTCGAGATGAACAGCGCAAAAAAAAACTTCGCGAATACGTTTCAAATTCTCTTCGCAAATCTCTAAAAGTGATATGATGTTCGCATTCAGTTCAATTTCACATCCGCCCATTAGCAAACAACCGTTGTCGTTATCAATTTCTTCAGCATTCTTACTGAATGTCTTTGTCGTCGTTTGTCTATGCCAATCGCCTCTAATATCAAATCACTAATTTGCAATTATTAATATATGCAGCAATTAGCAGAAAAAACGAGTATTATTCGATAGAGTCGCATTGTAAGGACGACGTTCTTTGAATGTTTTATATGAAATGGCACTTGGTAAGAGAGTTAGTTGAATGTGTTCACTTGATAATAGATATTAAATATCATTGTTGTTGTGCTTGCTATTGATTCGACGCGGTCGTTGATAAAGAATCGAACTGAATTCATTGGAAAAGTATCATCGAGAATGCTTATCTGCTAGATACTCACTCATCTACGGTGAATAATTTCTTTTAAACAGTTCAACTTTGAAATGGATCTGACCCATTCAAGCACTTCAAAATTCTATTCTCTCTTTAATATTCCATTTGTTCTATTGATCGCCTGTATATACATCATCTACTCCCTCATCACCTATATCTTCCAATATATTTATAAACTCTTCATTCAATGTTTATCGATGACCACTGGTCA